CGGAATTATCGACGATCATTTAATTGGTCCCTATTTTCTTCCACGACGATTAGATGGTGACTCATATTGTCATCTTCTCGAAGAATTACCTATTATTCTTGAAGAAGTTCCCATTCAAATTAGGCAACGTTTATGGTTTATGCACGACGGTGCACCAGCCCACTTTAGTATACGTGCAAGACGTCACTTGGATGAGGTGTATGCCAATCGATGGATAGGTCGAGGAGGATATGTAAATTGGCCAGCCCGCTCCCCTGACCTTAATCCTTTGGATTTTTGCATATGGGGATATCTGAAATCTTTGATCTACTCAAGGCCAGTTGAAGATATCAATGATTTGCGAAACCGCATTGTAGCAGGGTGTGAAACGATAAAAAATTCACCAGGAATATTTGAACGCATACGCAATTCTATGAGAACAAGAGTAGATGCTTGTATTGAAGCTGAAGGCAATCATTTTCAACATTTTTTGTAGATTGTATTGTCAATATCCGACAGATTTTTATTTTTTGTTACTGTTATAACATTATTCATCATTTGTTCACTTTTAGTCTAAGTTCCAAACTTCTTAGCCTAGTAGAATCATAGGTCAACTATTTGGTTGAGTGTTTTTTAATAAAATGTTATTTAATATGACAATAAATGACATTGACATTTGTTTCTACGGATTCCATTGTAAAGAACAGGCCACTAGATCTTTCGGCAAAATACACTCGCGTTAAACAGCTCATCTTTTTAAAAATACATTACAATACATTTATTTTTTTTTGTCATAAATCCTTAACTTTTCGAAGAAACTTGAAGAGATCAAAAAGTTAGTAAATGAATGGGGTTTTTTAGACATATTTTTTAAAAGGAAAAAATTTTATCGAAAAAAAAATTATAAGAAAAAATGTCATAGGGGTTGATTATTTCAACCCCTTACAAAAATAGTTCAGGGTTGAAAAAAATTCAAAAAGTGTAGTTTTATTGACAGATAATGTTCACCAAGTTTGGTTTCTTTAGCTTGATGTACGTGGAAGATAAAAAAGAAAAACAATTTTTTTTTGTAATTTTAGGAGGGGCGTAACTTTTCAGGGGAGGGTTTTTTCAAAAAATTTTATACCAAAGACCCCTATTAATTTTCATCGGAGAATCGCCCCTTGAATTTTTTCGGTGTTATTTAGATACACCCTGTAAATGATTGATTAACCTTATATCAAAATTTTAGTGACTGTAATTAGTCATTACTAACTACAGTCACTAACAATCACTAAAATTTTTATATAAAGTTAAATAGAGTTTAAAATATTACTGAGAATGTTTGCGCTGTTTATGACACATCCATCAATAAGTTTTGACATAAGCCTACTTTGAGAAAAGTCACTTATTTTCTTCACCGTAATATTGTAAGAGTTCAATTAAAAGCCTTTTTTCTCGAAAATCGTCCACATTAGGAAGTTCTAACAAGAGTACATTATTTTTAGAAAATAAAATTGTACATTAGAAATTGGAGCCCGAATGATAAAAAACCTAACTTTAAAAGAATTAGAACCTAAAATGTAATAAAAATGTAGCGTAACTAGCGCCCTCTATGAAATATCCAAAGAATAATTAGATCAGCGTATTTGGCGTCCTTAAAAACCCCGGAATACCAAATTTCATAAAAGTATTGGACCGTTTGGAAATTTTTGTAATAATTCTATTTAAAAAATTTTATTTTGTCGCTCTGTATCTCGAAAACAAGAGGAGATAGACATACAGTTCATAAGACAAAAAATTCTTATTTTTTGTCGTACTGTGAGCCCCTGAATTTACGGGAGGTCTTTCTGAAACACCCTGTATATACAGGCTGTCTACTATAAGAGGGCCACTCCTATGTATCTCGCTTAATATATGACGCACGTCAAAAATCTTTCTATGTTTTTTGTTGCATTTTTTGAGGCCTTTATGTTCCTAAAAACAAATTTGAGATCCATGGCCAACTTTGTGAGTAATCATAAAAAAACAGAAAAGTACCGAAAGTTTAGGGTCGTCTAACTTTTTTATTTTAAGAGATAGGAAAAACTTTTTAATAAAATTTCATGGCAAAATTGATAGCTTTCACCTAGTGTAGACAGATATTTAAAGGATCGTATGTAATTTGCTACATACCCTACGCGGGCAAAAAAAATTGTCGCAGCAGGCTGTGGCTACAGAAAATTGCTTGTGTATTTCTCTTCCATGCGATATACTACATGTTGCCTTTATCTTTTATATTTATTAAATTTTTTACAAGTGCACACTATGAAAACAAATGTGTTATCCCAGTAATATCATCATTTAACAAATCGTTTATTGTTATAATTGATGATATTTATAATCACATATTGAAAAGTGTAATAGGTACTTATGTTTGTATTGTACTATCAACGCAATTTCAATTCTATCAAGCACTTGCGGAATATAGAAAACTGATGGATCTCTTAAGAAGGACAGATCAATAAAGCTGTTGTCAATAAAATAGGTAATGTTAACAGAATTTTAAATTAGGTAAATAGGAAAAATGAGCAAAACAGTGAGAGTAAACTACAATGTAGAGAAGGATAGTGCAAGATGGATATTACGAAAAAATTTCAAAGTGAAAAAGTACATCTCTTGACGGATGAAGATAAACCAAGGAGATTAGGGTTCTAGGTGATGACAAGAAAAGAGGAAAGATCCTTTTATATCAGAAGAATTCTCTGGTCAGATGTGTATAATTTTTGTAATTGGATTTATTAATAGAAACATTCACTTCCAATGGACTAATGGTAATTTACATTGGCACGGAAAAACTGGATTTCAACAAAGGTTTTCAGTAAACGTTTGGGATAGAATTCTTGATACCAAAATCATAGGTCCTTACTTCTATGATGGTAAACTGATGGGTGTCGGATATTGCACATCCTTTGCTTAAAAGAAATACATTATATTCATTATTTTTTTTGTAGTTGGCATGTTTAAAGCAATTTCTACATTAACCTACATTTTTGATACTAAAATTATAAAAAGTGTAATAAATATAAAAGATAAGGGCGACATGTAGTACATCACATGAAAGAGGAAAAAAACAAGAAATTTTTTGTATCCACGGCCTGCTTTGAAGATATTTTTTTTGTCCGCATAAAGGGCGTAGCAAATTACATACGATAGTTAAAAAAATATGTTTTCACTAGCTGAAAGATATCTATTTTGACATGAAATTTTGTTAAAATAAGTTTTCTCTATCTCTTAAAATAAAAAAGTTAGACTGCCCTAAACTTTCGGTACTTTTCTGGTTTTTTATGATTACTCATAAAGTTGGCCATAAATCTCAAATTTGTTTTTACAAGCATCAAGGCCTGAAAAAATGCAACAAAAAACATATAAAGATTTTTGACGTATGTACAGGGTGGGCAAATAAGCGAGGTAAGCGGCTGTATCTCAGAAACTAATGATCGTAGAGAGCTACGGTAAAAAATTTTATAGGTAAAGTGGGCAAGGGAAAATGCTGGAAATTATTTTCAAGTTTCCAAGATGGCCGCCAGTGGGCGTTTCCACCATATTGAATTACATAAAGTTACGTTTCTCACGATTTTCCCCAATGAATGTAACAAAAAAGTATTTGCGTTTTAATGTTAACTTAAAGTCGAA